TTGCAAATTTGAGTGTCGGTCTTGATCAATACCGATGACTTGAATAGTGCTCACAATCGATCAAAAATGAATGTGTGACTACGACGAGGCAAATTGAAGTTGCATAGACAATATGTGAACTCTTTGCATCTCGTTATGACTAGCCAAGTATCGAATTGAGTCTCTTGTGATGAACATTGAACACTAGCGAAAGTGTGAAGTCTTGTTTAACATTGGTGTCAATACCTTGTGTGATGAGCTTACCGTGAACCATGTGTGATGACACCTAGAATTTGCCCCGTTAGTCCGGTTGACTAAGTGATGCAATTTCTTGAGATGATCTTAGGCAACTTTAAAGAGTGTAAACCAATTTGAAATTTTACTTATTTTGTGGCATACCTTGTGAGTGTGCGAACCTCTTTTGAGCACCTTTTGAGCCTTAACCTTTTCATGGAAGAAACTTGATAACATTGTGACCTTTTATCGATCCATTACCCATAATCCTCATGATTTGTGGTTTGTGTGAATAGCCAACTTAGGCTAAAAAAAGCCTAAGTTGGGGGTGTGATGAAAATAAAAGGCAAATCAAGAAAATGCAAAGAAGTCCCTTTTGCCCATGTTTTGAGAAAAATGGAAACACTCCATATAAATAAATAAAAACAAGAAAAGATTGAAAAATAAAAAGAAAGAAAAAGTTGTGAAAATAAAAGAAAATGGGGTTTCCAACAATCCATGGTAGATGAATAAGAGGTGACGTTTGAGCTTGAATGAAAATGATGAAGAAAAGTAAAGAAGGTGTTGTTCACATCACATTTCATGAGGATTTCATGAGAATTTCATCCTATAAGCCTAAATGACCATACCATTACACGCAGCCCCATTACAAGCCTTCAAAAGATCTTTTGATTTTGAATGAGCTGAAGCAAAAGTCGATTGGAAAATAAGGGCAAACCTATGGGTGAAATCATGCATTGTGTTTATCTTTGTAAGTGTGAGTGTTGATCTTGATTCCGGAACTTTAATTGATTGAACCATTGAGTGAATATGGAATCATTCTTTGTGTAAGGGCAATTTGAATACCTTTGTTGAGCTTGAACTTGCATTTGAAGCAAGTATAGTGAGCTTGATATTCTTTGGTAATGGTGAGTCACAACTTGAATCTTTGAGTGCACAATTGATCCTTGCACGAGTACATTGAGTCCTTTTGTGTGCATTCATGCTTGAGTCTTGTGTAGAACTGTTTGAGACATCCTTTTTGAACAGCTGAACTTGAGTTTTACTTGAAGACAAGCAAAAGTTTAAGTTGGGGGTGTTGATGAGTCCACGATTTGGACTCCTTTAGGGCTTTATTTTGATAGATTTAGTGTCCTCAAATGCATATTTTGTTTCAATAGCTGATGAAAATCCTTGAGTTTCAAGTATTTGGAATTAGAGACAAAGCATGGACACTAATGTGCAGAAAGGAACAAGGCAGTTGAAAAGAAACAAAAAAGACGGCATGAGGATCGCCTAAGCCATTAGGCGAGTCGCTGAATGGCTATGGTCTCGCCTAATGTTCCAGTGTGCCAAGCTCTGAAGGAGAAAATCGAGTCGACTAGATAAAGGAGCAGTCGGCAAGTTGCTGAATGATTCCGCGATGTAGTACTCCATCGCCCAATGCTACAGAACTTGAATTTGCTGAAGGCCAATGCAAAAAGGCGATGAACCAGACCAAAGGGCAGATCGCCGAGTTTATCGGCAATCCCGACTAACTGCGTCGAGTGGTCCTTCGCAACACATTTTTTTGACAACTATAAATACTTGTTTCAATTATTAGCTTAATATCAGATTTTGGAGGAAATCAGTATCAAACATTATTTTCAGTTTTTAGAACTTAAGAGTTTTGGAGACTTTGTTCCTTAGCTTTGAAGATTTCCATTTCTAAGCAATTGGAAGTGGGTATTGAAGATTCTTCATCTTTGACGTGTGTAAAGACAATATCTATCGTACCCATATGATGGAAACACTTTTCGGTATTGATTTCTATCTTTTTACTATGTTTAGCTAAAACCCCAATTCTTGGGGTGTCAATATGTGAATATGGGTTGAATTCACTGCTGGGTATTGTTAATTGATTGTTTATTCGCTATTTAAAGTTGATTTCGTTCAGTAGTTGTGTTTGAATTTAAAGGGGTTGTAGTTGCAAATACAATTTTATCTTCGTGCTTTTGACTTGATCGAGAGAGAGGTTTTAAAACCAAAACTACTGAATCGATAGTCGGTGGTTATTGGGTTGTCATGGGTTCAGCTCGAGAGAGTGAATGGACTAAGGCGAAGGCAGTGCTTCATTACCCCCATTAAAGTCTAACTTAGTTACCAATTTACAGCGAGCTACTATTATTAGCATTTACCCGGTTGTTTATTTTAGCCCATATTCCTATCACATCCCACGAATCTCGTCCTCATATTTGCATTTTCGTTTTTAGTTGTCGTTTTATTTGATAATTGATTACAAAAACCCCTTCGATAATTGACACTTGTGTCACCCTTTAATTTGATATCTTTTTCCTCGTAAATGTTTATAGTTATAATTAACTTGAACACATTCTTGCTTTTCTCTTAATTCTCGGTTACAAACCGCTCCCTTGGGACACGACCCCAACTCACTAGTTGGGTTATATTACTATTGAACGACCGTGTACGCTTACTATTGGATGAAGCACTTGGATACGTCAAGTCAATAGGCGGCTAGTTTCGCTTTCTCTATAGAAGTCACCTCCACGACAGCTAACACTTTATAAACTTCTTCTATGAACCCATTTGGATCCTCCTCCACCTTGGAGCCACTATACTCCGGAGGGTTCATCCTCAAAAACTCTCTTATTCTAAAAGCACCCATCTCCCTTATTGGGTTTGCCGGAGCTACCACCTCTCTATTGGCCTGCGCCGTCAAGGCTTGAGCCAATAATTGAAAAAAAGTCCTAAACTCCGCAAGAGTGACATTCTCAATTGGAGAGTCATTTGGAACTTGAGGAGGAGCTTGTAGAGGAACTTGGAGGGGAACCTTTTGTTCCACATTGTCTTCCTCTTCTCTCCTAGCATTCTCCCTTGTATTAGCCATACCCTGAAAAACAACAAGCACGGATTAGAAGAAAGGCCTACTAAAGCCAAACTCTATGGCACGACTAAGAGAATGAAGAAGTGAGACTTTTCCTAAGCATCCAATAGCCTCCTATTCATAAATATGGTGCGCTTCACATTTATGAACAAGACTCTACTAGACGTGGTTTGAGACAATCCTAGAACCATTCTAAACATTGTGCTCTGATTACCAAGTTTGTCACAACCCAGGGGTACCCCCTAGACGTAACATGGCGTACTTGACCCCGAAGGGTTCTCATACAAGCCCTTAGCATTATCATAACATAAGATATTATAAAAGTATGGAAAATTTAAAACTTATTTAAAACCATACAATCGAAAACATTTTCATAAGCAAGCGAAAGTCTTTACTACACTTTTGTCTCAAACCATCTAACATACTCTTGAATAAAACTCTTGGGACGCAGCCCATACACAGTCTAAAACATAAAGAAATGACATAAAGGAAATATGGGTTTGTCCTCGAAGCTATGAGGACTCACCAATTCTTCAACTCTTCTTGATTCTTGGAAACCTAGCCTCCAAAGCAACTCAATCTCCGAAACATTACATTTGATTAGAATGTAGGCAATATGTGTTAGTACAAAATGTACCAAGTATGAAAGCTAGCACAACATCATAAGAGCATCTCAAAATGGTTAGTCAACATAATACATAAGCATAAGATATAATAACATAGTCATAGCATAATCATCATAGTCATATCATGATCTCCAACATAAGCATCATATAAACATAACACTACACCATTTTAGGTCTACGGCCACACTAAATCTGGACAACGCTTGTAAAGTATTGCCTAAAATACTATTGGGAACGCTTTAAAAGCGTAGTCCAAGTTTTTAACTTTTGGCTTCAATAATATTGACAACACTTGTAAAGTGTTGCCTAAACTGGTATAGGCTACATTTTATAAGTGTTGTTACAATATGATATAATTGGCAACACTTATTTGCATAAATGATTTCACTTTTAAAATGTCCTATTTTTATAATTGTAAAAACAACACATTACAAGTGTTGCTTAAAATTTTCACTAAAATTTTAACTCTCCCTCCAACATTTTTAACTCTCCCTCCCATTTTTATTGGCCAAAAAAAATAATTCATAAAACATTAATCAGAAAAACGACATACTACTTTTCTCTTTTGTCTGAAGAATGACACACTACTTTTCTCTGGAGAACTGAAGAGCGAGCTGAAGAACATTGAGTTGAAGAAGAGCGAGCTAAAGAGCTGAAACCCCAAATTAGAATCGAAGAATTGATGAAGAGCTGAAGATCGCTTTTCTCACGGAACCGCTGAAGAGCTGAAGATGGAAAACAGAGTTGAAGAGCACTTATACGATTCCGCTTATCTCGCTCCACTTTTAGTTTTTCTGATTCAATTAATTTTTTGTTTGTTTGTTGATTCGTTGTATTCACTTTAGTGTTAATCTCTTGAAACTTCATTGTTGAAATCCCTTTTTGGGATGTGGGTTTTGTGCTTTTGCCATTCTTGTTTTTCTGATAGCTTAAATTACATGGGTGTAGCGTTTGAGCTGGAGTAGGTTCATGTATTTTGCATTCACTTCAGTGATAATCTGTTGAAACTTCATTGTGAATAATCTGTTTTTGGGATGTGGGTTTGTTTTCTTTTACCATTGTTATTGTTCTGATAGCTTAAATGACATGAGTATATAATTTAAGCTGGAGTAGATTCATGTATGTTGTATTCACTTTAGTGTTAATCTCTTCGAAGCTCATTGTGAAATCCTTCTTTTTTTTGTGAGAATGGTAACTCGATTGTGACAATTCCTTTTTGGGATGTGGGTTTTTTTTTCTTTTAAAATTCCTTGTTGTTCTATTTGTTTAAGTTGAATAGGTATAGGATTTAAGCTGGAATGAGTTCATATATCTAGTATTTACTTTAGTGCTAATCTCTTCAAAGTTCATAGTGACAATTTCTTTTTCGGATGTGGTTTTTTCTTTTCTTTTTCCTTTCTTGTCGTTCTGTTAGTTTAAATTACATGGGTTTAGAATTTGGGCTGGAATAGGGACAATATATTGATGCATTCTGCCAACCACAAATTTGATAGGCCTGGCGAAGCTGAAGCCTCCATTCAAAAGAGACGGAGCAACAATTACAGGTACTAGTTTCCCACTAAGTTAAAATATTTATTCTACTTCGAATTTGGAACTTAATGCTAATTACATGATCTTTCTAGGGAATTCTAGCCAGGTCAGTGATGGTGCGGCTGTAGTGCTTCTCATGAAGAGAAGTATAGCTATGCAGAAGGGACTTCCAATTCTTGGTGTTTTCAGGTAAGCTATATTCTTTGCATATGAATAGAGATTGTTCTTTTGTGGTTAGTACTGACCACCATGATGCTCAATATATACTATTAGTCGGATAATTCACAACTATATTCAGGCAGTAGTTATTATGTGCTAACAAAGTCAAATATGCATTTTTAAAAGGTAACAATAATATGCCCTTTAAGATAGAAGGGGAAATCAACAACATAATCGGTTGGTATTTTATCTCAATCTTGAATCCACGATCTTCTTTCATTGTTCTCTTTTTCCATTTTTGTAGATGCAGCAATAGCAATGTTTTTAGATACAAATAAACTAACTTAACACGAGTTTTGATGCTACTATTTTCATTAACAAGATTTGTGACTACATCAACTGCCCATTGAATGATACCATTGGCTTCTCGATAGTTCTAAGCATCTTTGTGCCTCTTCAGCTTATTAGCAAGATGAGGCAAAGCTCTAGCATCACAATCAGTTGTTGGTGCTCCGACTATAAATAAAATTGAAAATCTAAAGAAGTCGTCTGATAGATGCAAGAGTTAAGAACTACACAATATGTTATTTATATTTCACATTTCCACTTACTCTGTTATTTATATTTCATATTCACACTAGTATTATTTAGATAAAATTATTCGTCACGTGCAATATAGGTGTATCGGAACCTTCTTTACACTTGCTTATGATTTGTGGTTTATTATCTTTAGGGAGTACTCAGGACCATCCCTTAGCTACTATATCAACAACTTTAAGCCCATGAAAGTAGTCCAAGCTTCAGCACACTTGCCACAAATATTGTGTTGTTATAGTGGTCTCGATAATTTATTTCTTTCTTTTGGAGACGGATACAACACTCCAGAAGATAACATTAAGCAGTTGTAAGCGTACAATGTAGTCATTCTGAACTCGCTCACTCTAGTTTGGATGAATAATATGACTAATTTTCTGAATATTGTTTTTTTTAGATACACACTCTGTATAACTAAGAAATATTGTAAGATGCTAACTTTGGAGATATTGACTTCATCAACTGTACATTCACTATCTTCCACCATCTTTGTAAGTGTAACTCTTTAGGATATTTTGATTATCGTCATGTGGCTTCTTTGATTTGTATGTCTCTTTATTAGGTAGTTTTTTTGTTTTTGCTTATAAAAACTACATGTTGAGCATTCATTTAGGTAGTTTTCAGTTGTGATGTGTGTTGCAAAGTTAAAAGTTGTAGTCCTTGCTTACCATCTCCAACTAAGAACTGTACGAAAACAGAAGTTTGATAGCATGACAGGCTCCCAGTTTTTCTCTAGTGGCTTTACTGGTAATCTGCATTTAGCTATGTGATGACTTGTTTTGCTAACCCTTTTTCTCTAGTTTTCACCATTTTTAAATTCTAATGTTTGTAAGCTAATGAATGATTGTTAAGTAGGAACATCAAGTATGGTGACAACTCTCTAGAAAAAAATAGAATGATTTACTGTTTTAGCTGCCTGCTTGAGTCCTTTAATTTCCTCTCCACCTTGATCTCACACAACTTGTATTAGCAGTAGGATGATAGATGTTCTCAGCAACTTGTGTTGCCAGAATAATATGATTGCCAATGAAGTATTTTTAAGATTCTTGGAGATGTAAGAGTTGTTTCTGTCCATACATCACTCTTCTCATATCACTAAGGTCATTGTTTATTTCCATGTGCTATATCGTAAATTGTTCACAATTTTAACTATGTGATCCAGGGAAATGTTTGACAAGGAAAGAATCGCAAAGTTGAAGAAGGGAATTCTAATTGTAAACAGTGCTCGAGAAGCAATTATGGACACTCAAGCAGTTGTTGATGCTTGTAACAACGGTCACATTGCAGGTATTTTAACATAACCTGAACACAGCATCCAGAGATGAGCCCTCAACTTTAATATAAATTGAACACATCATTATATTTTTTTTCTTTAATTCTTGCTTATTTCTTTTCTTCAATATATTTTATCGAAATTCGGAAGTAGTTCCATATCTTGTTGAATTTCCGAATCCTTTGAAGAAAGAAATAATTTAAAACTATATTGAGTGCTTTCTTTTGGTTACTTTCCCCCAAATTTAGGATACAGTGGAGATGTTTGGTACCCACAACCAGCTCCCAAGGACCATCTGTGGCACTACATGCCAAACCAAGCTATGATTCCTCACATTCTAGGACTACCATTGATGCATAGGTTTATAAATACTATTGTTATGCTTTTATTCTCTTTTGTTACTTATTACATCATATTTGGAGTAATAGAAATCCATCTTCTCATAAATTCAAGATTTTGATCAAATTTGACGGCTTTCAATTGTTGCTATTGTAATGTCTTTCACTAACTCGACGATCAGTCTAGGTTTAGGCATTGCTCAAGTAGCAGGTTTGTCACCTTCTAGCCTACTATTGCTACATTTTTGGAGGTCCGGGAAACATTGCAAGTTCTAACTTTTATGTACCTTTTTTATTTGAAGAAACTAAAAAATTGGAGGAAGTTTAATTGGAGTTAGCATTGGAACTGTAACTGAAATGCAAAAAGTTTGGAGAACTTTACAAGCATTGTAAGCTATTGCTTTTGCCAATTCTTACTCCCTCATCCTTATGGAGATTCAGGTAACGATATGGAGCATTTTTCATTCATTCCTCGTAGTTTAACTTGATGCCGTAGTAATTTCCTATATAATATAGGATGCAATCATTTAAATCCCCACCCTCAGAAGCCAAAACAATGAAAAATGCAACTCTAATTAGTGTATCAGTAACAACAGTTTTCTACATGTGCTATAACTGTTTTTGCTATGCAGCATTTGGAGACCATACTCCTGAAAGTTTACTAACTGATTTTGGATTATACGACCCTTATTGGCTACTCGATATAGCTGTCATTTGACCTTTTAGTTAATTAGAGTGGCTCAAGCGTACCATCTTCATTTGAATCTTCGCTTTTACATAGTTTAACTAATACAGTGCATACTTGTAACACCTTCTGTAGGATTTTGGAACTCCGACTTCTCCAGCTGACGAAATAGAGAACAGACTTCTTCTGGCATGACGCCGAGCAGAATACTCTGTTCGAACGCATGCACTTACCCAAAATTTTATTGTTGTCCATTTTACACAGACTGACTCTGACCGTACACGTATAACTCCACCGCAACCTACTGTGTTCCTTCAAAACAAAGTAAGTTAGCATAAGCAGGCAAAAGTACGAGCATCAACAAGCAAGCAAATGTTGTTCTTCTGCCACATCTTTGCCCCAGGGAGCTGCAAGCTGGTTAGTTCTGGCTACTCCAAGAAACACTACCTCAGATGAACTATGGTGTACACATATGTAGAATATTGCTTTATAAGTATGTGTACACACAAGACATACTATCTTTTGAAATTTATTGCAGATTTACATATTTGAATTACTTATTAGCCAATTTAATGCTTGAGATTATTTATTGCATAACAATTATTGGTGTTTTTTTAATTAGAAATTGTGGCATATAAATATTTTATAGCCAAAATAGTATTACCACACTTAAAAGTGTAGCCATAGGGTTGTAAGTTATGGTATGCACATGGGCAAGGACTACACTTCAAAGTGTTGTCATACATTAGATAGAAAAGGCAACACTTTAAAATCGTTGTCATACATTAGATATAAAAGGCAACACTTAAAAATCGTGGGCAAAAAAGAAGCTAAGGCCACGCTTAAAAGTGTAGTTGTATGAGATAGAAATGTTGTTATATGAGGTACATAAAAGCGTGGCCATTTTGCCATTTAGGCTACGCTTTTAAGCGTCGTTGATAAGGAAACACTTGGTGTTGCCTTAACTCTAAGGTTACGCTTCTTTTGGGCACCCCAGGAAAAGTGTTGCTTAAAGTCCAAAAGTGTAGCCGTTTATCAAAGGCCACACTTTTCGGTAGTTTAGGCTACACTTTACGGGGGTGGCCGTAGGCCTAAAATGGTGTAGTGTACTCATCATATAAACATAAGTCAACATAAGACATAGTTAATGAGCATAAGAGATAAGTCATAGTCATATAAGAATAATTGACTCTTAGTCATCTATACCATAATAGCACCATTCTCAAGTAACCTCAAGCACATACATCTTCAAAGCAAGAATAGCATCCCATAATACCACCCAAGCCAAGTATCCCTTTTTGGTCATCTTAATCATAGACTATATGCATGGTTAAATCTTAAGCCTTTCTACTATAAGGGCACCATACTTCTGAGTGAATTTAAAGCACACTTGTGCAATGCATGAAAGGCATCCCATACTACCCTTCACACTAAGCATAACCTTGAAATCATCTTAGTCATATTCACCCTACATTGGTCTTATTATTGGCTATCTTCATATAGATAAGGAAACTATCACCTTTAGACAATCATATCTTTGAAGGCAACTATAGGAACAACCCAAGATAAACTATACTATGTGTAGGAACCCTTCATACCTAGCCTGAAGTCACACTTGTGCAATGTATGGATATCATCCCAAACTACTACCCACACTAAGTACTCATTTAGACTATCATGAATGCTCTCTAGTTGGGGACTAGTCCCTCTATTCTATTTGCCTTTATTCATATAAGGTACTTCTCTATTTAGTACTAGGCAAGTCATAACCCATGAATGAACACTATTTCTCAATTCAAGGATACCAAGGAATAACCCACTAATAGGCTAGACCATGCTATCATCTTACTAACATAACTAGGTTAAGCTAAGCTACCTACCTTGGAAGACATACTAACATGCAAGTCCAAGCTACTCTAGGAAAGGTACAAGTGTCCTATCCTAGCTACCATAAAATAGTCTTAGACCAACTAAGTCATGCTGCCCTTACAAGTATACTATGATACAAATGCAAGCTATCCTTAGGAGAGTATGATTCTCAATCCTAAGCTACCCTTAGGAGAGTATGAGTCCTCAATCCCAAGCTACCATGACTAACCTAACTCAAGATATCCTTGCTCCCAAAGTTACCATGAAATAGTCTTGTCAAAACCAAGTCATGCTACCATGAAGGCATCCTAACAATGCTAGTTCAAGCTACCCTTAGGAGAGTATGAATCCTCAATCCTAGGCTACCATGACTACTCCTAACTCATGCTACCATTAAATGCATCTTTATAATGCCAAGTCAATCATCCCTTAGGAGAGTATAGATCCTCCATCCTAAGCTATCAGCCTTGGTATTATCCTACTAACCAAGCTATACATGGAGGGATCATACATCACAACTTCAAGCGATTCTAGTCTAACATGCCTTGATTCATTTTAGGTTATTAAGCCAACCTAGAATCCTTATATGTGAGAGAACCCTTGGATCTCCTAGCAATTCATGCATAAGTGTGTAAGAGATAGAGACTACACAACAAGATCACATCATATTGACTTTACCCCTAAAGCCCTAACATTGATGGCTACAAGCCCTACTTTCAAGCTTTACTTCTTACTAGCATATTTATACCTATATTTCAAGGTATTTCAATCACAATATTCATTAGAAGGTGATTCTAGTCATAATTGATTCATAAAGGTTCAATTCTAACTTTACAAGTCAAGATCCTTCATATTCAATAAAGTCTAGTTCAATTCATGATTATATGGTCCTAACTTTGATCAATTAGTATACATGACATTGATTTAGGAAGATCACCTTTGAACCTTCAACTTTGCCACTAATGGCATAAACTCACAAATATCACATTCATCAATTCAGGCTAGGGTATACCATAGAAATCACATGAATTCATCATAATATCACTAAACAAAGCTAAATCAATCATAATTAGGTATTATCCACTAGATTGGAATCATACACAAACCCTACCCACAATGTAAGCACAACCCTAGCTAGAATTGGGTTTTTCACTTCACAATTAGGGGAAACTATGGAGGATCTATGGGTGGAAGAACCCATAGATGAATAAGATAAACATACCTTGATTCATATCCCTAAATAAATCTTGCTTAAACTGATTAAAAACTTCCTTCTTCTCTTCTCTTCTTCTTCTTCTTTGCTTCTAGATAGAGAATTTCTTGAGAGGATTATGGGGGTTCTTAGATAATTGAGCTTATGACTTAGTTTTAGGTTTTCTTAGGTATTTATAGGTGGTTATTTAACTAATTAAATGACCTCCCTAAGCCCTAACTAATTACTTAATTAATTCCCTAAAGCCCTAACTAAAACTAAAAATGTTAAAACTGCCAGGACCTACGGATCACCCACCCACGGACCGTGGGTGGGTTCACGTCCAGTGCTGACTGCTTCGTTGGTGGTAGATGAGGCTAAGAGGTTCAGGCCAACTCAAGCCTTGACCCACGACCCCCACCTACGGGACGTGGGTCCACCTACGACTAGTAGGTGGTTAATCGTACCTGTTGCCTAAAATTGCAGATTTGGGGATGTTTGAGGGTTCCTCCCCAAGGACCACCTGGGTGGTCCTTGGGGGGTCGTACCTTGACGTATAGCCCCTAAACCTCTATTCTAAGTACGGGAATCGTTTTTACAAGTTTTAATCCTCAACCACACTCCAAACCTCTTACAAAAGGCTCTAGAACTTACTAGTTCAACTTGCTAGTTTCCGTGGTGTTACACGTACGTCTCTGGTGGTGGTCGGAGGAATCTAAGAATTCATCGGGGCATCAACATCATCATCTGCCTCCAATAGTGAGGTGAAGTCAGTGGACTTCAAGTAGTCCACGTCCTTCCTGAGATCTGCCACCTCAGTTTTCAAAGTCGTTACCTCAGAAGTCTCCCCTTGTCTACTATCACAAGTCTCAACTCTCATTGTGAGAGTGTCAATATATGCTCATAGGGGAGCCAGTGCAGCTAAGATAGCACTCTCGATAATCCATGGCATAGCTGCCTCTAATCGAGTAGCCCTCATATCCGCCGAATGGGCTAAGTGGCCCATCCTCAGGAGTATGGCCTGAGTGATCTTGGTCGGCTGAGAAGCAGTAGAAGTACCAGGAGTCCGGGAGGAAGTGGAGGTATCTGAAGGCCCGAAGGCCGGAGTAGGCAAAGGTGCCTTTGCAGGTATAGAGTTAATGTCCACCTCTGGGGATGCATCTACCGGAGTTGCTCTCCTCCCGTCAGCCTCCTTCCAAGTGTACATGATCAAGACCCGAAAAGGGAGGGATGTCTGATGCTGTTTGGGCCCCATGGCCATCTCCTGCTCTATGATCAATCCCATATCAATACTCTTCCTGGATATGATTGACCCGAGACAGGCCGCCTTAGGATGCGGAGGATGGACTCATTCTGGGACGGCATAATGGAGCTACTGATGAATCCAAACAAATATCGTGCAGCTACGCTCAAGTCCTTTTTCTCGATCGGAACTTCGGCCTCAATCCACCTCGGGGTGGTGTCAGAAATAAGGGGAGCTAACCAGCCTTTGAGCTCATCCAATGATGTCGTAGTGGTAGCCACATTTGGGTAGTGAAAGACTGAACCTCAATTAAGTACCACATTGATGTGATCACGGCTACAATGCACTACAGTCCCCCATATCATGATGGACCCCACCAGTCTAAAAGTGTTGGCCTTCTTTTTTCCTTTTGGGACCAGGTCACCATATGCCGAGTAAAACTCCTGAACCAATGTAGGTATGTATGGGCCTCAGGGTCTGGTGAACTGCTCAAAGCAGTGGTACTGGAGGGTGTCCCTCACTGAGGAGTATCTGCCCTCAAGGCCCTTTGTGAATACCAATTTCTCCTCTAAAATTGTTCGCAAACCATCGGCTTTCAATCTATTAACTAATCGGGGAGGAGGAACCACTGGTGGCACTAGAGCCACAGGAGGTAACGAAGCTGGCACTGTAGCTACTGCTGGGGTGGCTGCCAGGACTCTTGTTGAGTCAGGACGAGCTCTAGCACGGATCTCCGCTCTCCGGGACTGTGATGGTTGGTCATCCTCCGGCTCAAATAATACAGCTTGGGAGTCAAAGGCTCCCTCGCTGCCAGAGTTGTGCTCTGAAACCTCAGATGTTGGCTTCTTCCCTTTGGCCTTA